AATGAGATGATGAGTCGACGATTTGACGTGAGAATAACAAATTATCGTGCATACCGTTCGTTTTTCTTTTAAATGAATGATTTTTTCAAATGAGGCTGTTTCATCTTGGAAAAAAAATCTAATCTGAAACAAATAAATATGCGTAACTGCAATAAGTACTCATAAAAGCTAGATCTGTAAACTATGCCCAAAAAACAATAACGACAGTTAGTTGAATATATTTTCAATAAACAACAAGTTGATAAAAGTTTTTTTTCTTCTGAGAATATCGCACCGTATCAGTTATAAACAACATCACACTAAGCATATACTACACGTATTAAAAATAATAAAACTACAAAATTAAATGGGTTATACAGAAAAAGAAAAATACATAATGTCGCAACTAACTTTCAGATAAAAAAAACCTTAGTATTTAGTAACGTAAAAAAAAAAGATAAAAGCTTGAGAATATAGAATGCTTTCGCTGGGCGAAAACTAAACAACCGAGTTTACGAACATATCACAGTAATAATAAATTGATATACGCAGTAAACAATAAAAGGATTTAAAAAAATGTTACACTGCCAACTACAATGAAAGCATATATCAAAGGTTTTATGTTACAGATTTAAGAGAAAAAATGCATGAAATTGTGTTTAAAAAATGTTGTTTAATCAGAAAAAAGCGTAGTTTAAACTAATAGGTTAGAGGAGAGCAGCAACTTATTAATAAAAAGAAAAGAAATATATTTCTGTTCAACACGTTACTTTTTTGATGTCGATCCACTTTGTTCAGTTTTTTTGACGGCGGCTGATGAATCGCTTCGTAGTGTTTTTCTTTCCACCGTTTTTAAACTATTCGCCTCATCATTTTTTTTCGGTGGGCTTGTTTGAGAATTACTTCTCTCATCTTTCCATACGTATGTACCTGAGTACGTATAGTCATACTTTGAGCATATGTCAAATGCTTCTTGTAATCCAGAACTACCAAACGGATACGGAATCACATTAACATTTTTATTATTTTTATCATCGATTTCACTTAGTACGGGTGTTACAATACGCCATGCTTCTTCAAGTTCATCAGAACGAACAAAATTAATCTGATGGCCCATAAATACATCTAATATTAAACGTTCATAAGCATCCGGTAATTTAACACCTTGATAACGTTCATTATACGTCAAATCTAATTCTGTTTCTTCTACTCTGAAACCCATTTCACCTGGACGTTTATTATTCATTTTCAAATAAATCGCTTCATTTGGTTGTACACGTATAACTAATTCATCACGAGCTGTTTTTTCACCATCAACTTCAAACATACTACCAGGCATATCACGAAATTGAATACGAACTTCAGCTTTTTTTTCATTTAATGCTTTTCCTCCACGTAAAATAAATGGTACACCTAAACAATAAAAACATGTATAGCAGCCCATTTTTAAAAAAAAACACACTATTTTATAAGCTTTCTTACCGTCCCACCGTTCATTATTTATATGCATGACAACCTGGGCAAACGTTGGTGTTTTTGAATCTTTTGGCACACCCTCATCGTCCAAATAACCTTTTCGATGTTCTTCATTCGATGAATTTTTATCACCAACATACTGTCCAAGTGTAACATCTTCCATTTTAATCGGCTGTATACGACGTAATACTTTAACTTTTTCATCACGAATATCTTCACCTTTCGTTGAACGTGGAGCTTCCATTGCAACTATCGACAATATTTGCATCAAATGATTTTGAATAACATCACTAAATTAACCAAGTAATAGTATCAGTATATGCTACTGCTACATATGAAAACGATGTATTGATGATCTATTTGCAATATTCAATATAAAATTTTTGAGAAAAAAAACAATTCGTAACTTTATCGATAGAAATATCACACTCGAATAAAGAGCCCGTTCTACATGAATAACAAACTATCTAATACGATCAACACTTACCGAATAATTCCAAACTCATCAAAATATCCTCCTCTTCCTTGGGTGCCAATATCCTCTTTAAATATGATAATAATAGCTGCAATTGAATCACGATTCCAAACACGAGAGAATATACGATTAGCAAATCTAAAATAAGAAGAGACGATTATTAAAGATTAGTCTCAACTTGAACAAAATAAATCATTACCTTAACACAACTAAATTTTGCACCATTTCTTTTCCAAGGTAATGATCAATTCTATAAATTTCCTCTTCTTTATAATGTTTACTCAAATGTTTTGATAAATTATTTGAACTTTCTAAATCTTTACCAAACGGTTTTTCAACAATCAAACGTAACCATGCAGGTCTACATTAAAAAAGCAAAATGACAAAATCGATAAAATATTCAATTTATAAATATTGCATACTCTTTCGGACGACAATTTGAACTAATTAATTCTGATACGCTTCCGTAAACACTCGGTGGTAAGGCTAAATAAAATAAACGATTGGCAGTTTCTTCTTTAGCAATTTTGTTCGCTTCATTATGTAAACGTTGAAAATCTTTTGGGTTATCATATGAGCCACTAACATAAGAGTTAATACTAATAAATTTTTTGTATAAATCACGTTCGCTATCTTGAAGCTTTGAATAGAAAAGGAAATTTTATTGTAAAGAACATCTTATTAAATATCTAGTTTTTAATTACCTTCATATATTTTTCACAATTTTGAAATACTTTTTCAACTGTCAGTGCACTTCGAGCATAACCAATAAAAATAATATTTTCCGGTAACAATCCATCGCGATACAACCACCTATTAAACAAACAAATATAAAGTCACAACTTAAATGAAGATGATAAAATGATTACCATAACGTTGGATAAATTTTCTTTTTCGCTAAATCACCCTGTGAAAAGAAAATATACGTTAATTTCTTGTTGTTATTTCCTGTTAGTTTACTTTACCGATGCTCCGAATACAAAAAATATATATGTATTTGAACTTGACTTTTGTACTTGTGTGCGTATACGTTGAAATATCGTATCAGTTTCTTGTGTCGGACATTGACCTGCACTACTTTTCTTTGCGCTGCTCATGTCAATTTCAGGATGGTACGTTTTAATTAAATTAAAAAGTAAGAATGTAATAAATGCTAGATGGTCAATTATATTTTATCTACAAAAGAAAATCGCATCGTGTTAATCATAACTTTTTCGTCTTCTAAGACTAGACAACCAACAAGCCTCATTTCAAAATTAACAAATATACCTAAAGTTCGAATAGATTAACATTTATTTCAGCGACATTTTTTTTTGCATCACAAATGATGACGACGTATTATTTTTTTTTTCTTCTTCACTGAAGAGTTATCAGTCTTTTGGTAATGTATGGACTCACGCTTATTTGCTATTCACAGGAACAATCAACTGTTGATCAACATATAATCTAACATAAATAAATATCTATAATATCATCAAAACTCAGTTCGATTTCCCTTGAATTTCTGAAAAAATTTAATAATACTGAATACAATCTTAATATTTGAACAAAAATCCCGTCAAACCGTCGTTATAAAACGATTTTAGTTCGATCATGATGACACAGTGCGCATGTACTCACTTTTTTTTGTGAATAAATAAATACTACTATGTATATATTATGAATGATTTTTGTTACGTCTTGACGATTGTATTAATGATAACCTAGTTTGAATCTACTCTTCAATCATTTATGTTGAAATTTGTTGACACCAGTATAGCATCACTTTATGCCAAATTAATTTTGTTTACTTTAAATAAACATAAGTAAATTACTTATCTTCAGCACAACATAATGCTCGCATTGACAGTGGAGTTTTAATAATTAATTAATTTCGAAAGTGAGCATCATTATGTGGGTTCAAGGCGAAAGATAAAACAATAAGCTCCTAGGACTTTTCATTATATATTATCCTTTCAAGCAGCGTGGTCTGAAGAAATATCTTCATATAGATAATATATAATATATCTACATAGGTGTACCTTTTTTTTAACGTTGATGTTTTTATTGTCCCATAAAAGTTAACAAATATAGTAAATAAATAACGTTAGCACATCAGTAAAAAAGAAAATATAGCGTAATAGACAAAAGCACAATATATATCTCCCTCTTATAATATCTGATTCCATGGCCAAGATATATAAACAAAACCATATTATTAATAATGTCAAAAAAGTAAGGTAAAATAAAATAAAATGAACGATGAAAGGAGGTTATTTTATGAAATTACACAAAAAAAGGTACAATAGTAGAGACAGGTAAACTAGTCAAATAAGAAGATAATAAAGCAAATTACAATAATTCATCGTAGTTGAAGAAAATACTTGTACATTAAATGTTTCCGGAGCCATACTTACAATCTCAGAGGAGGGAGGTGGTCCTATCAAAAAACTTTATCGTTCTTCTAAAAAAAGAAATTTTTTCGAAGAATAAAAGACACAAAACAGAAACTTTTCTGAAAGCAGCGGGGTGGTAACCACTCCTACAACGCCCCAGTAAGTACGCTCCTGAATGTTCCAGTAATTGCGTATCTTTTTTGAAACAACGAATGTTTTTTCCTGTTTATATCACATTCGGTGTGGGATAGCGGATCAACATATGATCCAGAGGAATAGATATTCCCTAATGAACGTACTTGATCCAAGTGCTTGATTACTGGGTCAGTAGTACTTGCAACGATTAGCAACTATTTTCGAGGTTAACTGGTAAGTCTATCAAGGTAAGGTACAGAGAAAGGAAAAACAGACACGTGAATGACTTCAGATATAAAAAAATTGGTGAGAACTTCAATAATAGTAGTAGATTCAGCATTTTTCGCAGTCTCACACAAAATTAGCAATTGTTCTAGGGTTGCATTTAAATTTCATCTGTGTCATAAACAAAATCGTTAGATCTTCAACGTATAGTTGTTACTAGTTTGTGCGATTGTTAAGGGGTATTGCAAACCGGCGACATCTTCACGTTTAAGCCAGAAGTGTTTTATTGGATTTATATTTGTACACATGACTTATCATATGTGTTCTGTGATCTTTTATATTTCGAAAATTTTAAACGATTTAGTAACATAGCGTTCGCTCCATGACTACGGCTGCGTCCGAAGCAGCTGAATGGTCTGGGGTGACTCATTTCTTTCTTTAATTGTTTTGTATGAGTTTCAGACGGATTTGTATACGTTGTCGAGAAAGAACAGAATTTAAGAATCTCTATAGTCAACAAAAGATCCAGGAAATCGTCAAACATGGGATATTTTTTTTTATAGCTTTATGAACTTATATTTACTGAGGTATATTCACTATTCTATACTACAGAAAACTCTTTTTATAGTGTAGAACAGTGTACAGTTTAATGCAACCCTATCTGGGGCCTGTTTCTTAAAAAGACTTAAGTAGGAAATCTTACTTAAGTCAAAAAAGACAAAGACTTTTTTGCACTTAAGTTTGACTTAAGTAAGATTTTCTACTTAAGTTTTTTTAAGAAACAGGCCCCTGGTCCTTGTTAAAATTTGAAACTTTCATCCTATAAATTCTTGTGTCCTTGCGAACTCTTCTAATGATTCGATGATTCATACATTTCTATATTTCTAATTTTTTGATGAATATATATTCTCAAACGAGTTTCTAGATAAACTTTAGGAGACACAATAGTAGTGAGAGTGTGGAAAAAACTCGCTCGCATGCTTTTCAAACAAGCTGGTTGAACTTGCTCGATTAACTGCTCCAAGGATGTGTTTTTTTCTCTCATCCTTTCATGTGGCATCTTATTCGTGCTTTGCATGAATTTTAATTTGCTTTTGCGCAATGGTAAATCCTATCTCAAATTTAATACTCTACTTTTTATTTTTTAAGAGAGGTTTTTCTATCACCTGAATGAGAAAAATACATAAGTGCTAAAAATGCAAGTAGCTAGTCGTACAAATCGTCGCGACTGCGGTCATCGTTATATCACACCCACAATGAAAACAACATCTGTAGAAAATCAATACAACAAGACACTAAAAAGTCGTTCAACTAATCAACCACAAAATATGTAAATATTAAATTCTTCCTTATTGTGCCCAACCTTTTTTCTCTTGTTTTCTCTAGAAGTACCATACCCATACCGAAGCAATATGTTTCACCGAAAAAAGAAAAGACGTCTGATCGACGGGAGCCAACACTGAAAAAGTAGGATTATCGCAAAGAGTAAATGCAACTTGCAATAGTTGTATATATTTTTATTAGATTGGTGGATCGTTTTCGTTTTGATGAACCACAAGGTCGCCCAGAAAGGCAATCAGTTGTGTCAGATTTTTGGTGGCTACACGATGAATTGAAAAACACTACATATTCTGATACAGAAGATGACCAGATTAATGAAAGAAAAACAGATATTCCAGAAATGATCGAAGTAAGACGCTTTCGAAAATGTCAGATTTTGTAATCATAGTTTTCTCTCTAACATTAGATCTTTCCTTCGACTGATATCGACCAAGATTTAAATAAACGTGCATCATTGCTCTTACAACAAACGTAAGTTACGCAGTTTTGTCTATGAAAATAATATTTTATTATATTGTATCTGAACAGAGTCAGTGCGCAATCGGATATTGGAAATGTTTCAAGTACAGGACTTGGCTCGACAACATCAACAACAGTAAGCTCACAACCAACTGTTATATTTGAACAAGCAGCTCGACCGTTATTTACTCGTGTACCAATCGGTAAATAATAGTATCAGAACAGATTGTAAGTCTTTATACGCCGTATTCTCTCTAGGTGAAACAAAATTTGGACATTTGGATATGAATGATAATGGCGACGATGATATACTTTATCGTTGGCGATTAAGGAGAAGATTAGAACAAGCACAGAAAGGCGAACCGATTACTTTTCCAACGAAGGTATATTTTGATATTAGAAATAAATTAGTAGATTTCAGTTCTCGAAATTATTACTTTTCTTGAGGGCAATGACTGTTCGTACAACTATTGTCGCATTATATGATTCTCTTTTGCTTTCTAGGTACCGAATCGTTCAATCCCCAGCCATCAACAAGAACGATCGTATCTATCGATACCAACTACGATAACACAACAGTCTCCACCACAAATACCCTCTTTTCCTCCTGTTGCAACAGTATCCGATAAACCATCTTGTTTAAAGGAAAAATGTCAAAGTGAAATAGTTATAGTAAACAAAGCAGAAGCATCAACACAAACGTTACAGGTAACCGTCTTAAAAAAACGCGACTTTTATATATAAACGTCATCATCGATCTATTATTTAAGGATGCATCTATGCAAACATCACCAACTCAAAAAGAGAATAATAGCTTGTTTACTACAAATCTTAATCATTCCATACTTCCATCGAACGATCTTGATATTCATCCTACTCGCGATACAACAGAAATACAATCATCCTCTGTTTGGCATCGGCCACCATCATCTCGTTCGAATTTTCGTCCTCAGTCTCTACCATATTCTGTTGTTAACATGTCGGTTCAATCATCGTCTTCATATTCAACATCTCCTATTAAAAATCATCATCAAAATTCGTCAAATACATTTAGTCCAGTTATTATTCATTCCACACCTTCAACGTCAAGAACAGTAAAATTTATTGATAAACCTCTATCAAAACAAAAATTACCCACAGTTTATGATGTTTCATCGTCCCAGGATAGTACATTGACACATGTCACATCAATTGTACATGACAACACTAGAAATAATAATACAACACGGCAAAGTATCGGTAATGATATTGATGAAGATGATGAAATTCAATATATTCCAGGTTAGAGTCATTGCTCACAAATGAAAGTGATTATTATCCTATTTTTTTACTTTAGATGAAGAGAGTGATGGTGATGAATTTTCCGATGATGATATGTTAAATCTATTAAGAAAAAAACGAAATGATTTATTAATAAAACTTCGGTAAGAAAAGAGAAGAACTCTGTTTTTGTTGATGAGCGGATTTCAAAACGGACATCTTAGGTACGAAGGACAGATCCTGAACAGTACTAGTTTTTACTTATGGATTTCAAAATAAAAAAATTTACGAGAGTACTCGACGTTATGAACGTTGAAATTTTATGACATGGTTAAGATATTCTTACTGCCGCACAAAAAGGAGCAATCTATTCTTGACTGAAGTTTGTTGAATAATTGTGACTATACAAAAGACTATTTATCTTGCTTCTTCTTCTTCTAGTGAAATTGAACAGTGTTTAGCAGTTCGACGATGACTGATTGTTGTACGACAGAAACATATTAGATTAGATTATTGATCTGTAATATTAGAACTGTCACTAAATTTATCTTTTTTATCATACTGTTTGTACATAAATACGGGTTTAGATAATTATTTATATCATCTTGTTATGTGGCAATGTTGTTAAATATCAAAATTGTTTGAATGAGTACCACAATCAACGTTCTTTTATTGAAAAATGATGTGTAACTTCCGATCAAAAACAGTTGATCATCAGTAGCTACGCTTTAGAAATAATTAGCGCAATGTATTCAAACGATAATACAAGAAGAAGATTAATGTTATATATATGTTGTGTATTTTTTAATTCTGTAGTTGATAATGATCAACAATTTTTGATCAGAAATTACAGGTTATTTTTCAATAAAAGAACGTTGATTGTGAATCTCATACCAACAATTTTAGAATAGTCTATTTATATGATGTTAACCTTTTTTTTATAAAGATGTGATATTTCTGAGGTTTTGAATAATAAAATTGCGCGCATGCTGATTTTTATCACAATTTAATGTCTATCACAAATGTATGTAGAGCTGAAATATAAATCGCTCATGTTTTATGGTACTTCCAGCGTCACAACAGGATTTGTTTGCTGTCGAATTTAAAGGAACAGATTTTGAAACTATTCAAGATACGATTACATTGTACAACGTTAAATCTTCTAAAGTACCTTGGTTTTCACTTTAAGTTAGAATGACTAAAACTGCCGAGGAAAGGTCCACCCATCTCGATATTGTCCTCCTTACCGAAACTTTGACTTTCTAACTTAGGGCAGGATTTTAATTGTATATTAAAGATACCTGTTAAATAAAACAGCAATCAAATTAAATTCGACGGTCGTCCTTTTTTTACTCACGAGGAAAGGTCCCTAAGTATGCAATCGCTTTTTGCTTGAAATCTAGTGGACAATAGGTAATCGACTGCGCTAAATCCGAATCTGACATCAGTTTGTGCTGCTAGGTTCCCAGAGACCGAGTTTCTGGAAAACCAGGTTTTCAGAAACTCTAAAAAATAACCCAAACCTTTCTTAATGAGGCATGATTGTAGACCGCTAATTTCTGATTAAAATGAGATATCTCCCAGCTCTGCGCGGCCTTTGCAAAGTTATACAATTTACACGAAAAGCCCTAAATTAAGGACGGGGACGATTATTTGATGGAATCGGCTCCTGCTTGAATTCCATCGACATATACATGGTCAGATGCAGAATGAACAGGAGAACGTTTCTAGTCACTCGACAGACCTTAGAAATGC